CCTGCAACCGTTCACCGTGTGATGCTGCAGAGCATCGAGGGCGTCGTGGGAATACACGATAGACAGTGCCAAGGCGAAGTGTGATCAGCAGCAGCGGCCGCCAATTCCGTCTAGCAGGCGGGCGACAAGCTTTCATGAGGGCTGGATCGAGCGTGGAGCGCGTTGAGATGTGGTTTTGACGAAGTGTCGTGACGCGCGAGAGGGCGGTGAGGTGGTGCGTTGAGGTGGATTCGCCCATTCAGCCCTCTCAGGCGAACGGCTCGCAGCTACGAGGGCCGGGCAATCCCGGTTTCATGTCGTTCGAACGGAGACGATCCACGACCACTCAAACCGATGGATGTTGCGCATCTGAGGCAGCCAATGGCCAGGCGAATGGCTATTATTACGACCCGGACGACGTGATCAGCATCAGGGTGGCATGGCGGCAGGATGAAGCAGTGTGGACGCATGGCGAAACTGTCGCAGACTCGGCCTCGGAGAGCAGGCCTTCCCAGCAGACTACTCGGACGTGGTCGCGGTCGCGGTGCAGACAGCAGCATGGCAATGGCAGTGTTGCGGCTGGCAACGAGGGCGTCTGCATGCAGCCACCCAAAGTATGGTGTGGAGGCTGCGTCACCACGACAGCGACCACTTGACGACAGCCAGGAGCTTGAGGGCGGCAGAGCAGCCCCTCGGCCAACCACTAGGTGTTGGAGGTTGACTGGGCAGCGACGGATGCGGTGCGCGCCCAACGATTAGACGCATTGCATGAAAGAGCTAGCCCGCTATAAGGCAGTTTATAGTACCACGCCGTTTTGAATTTTACGGGCGGGGGAAAACTTTCGTGTGTCGAAGCCCGAACAACGCCTGCATGCCTGTCTGCTGCACACCAAGTCGCCCGTCATACTCTGCAGCGCCTCGCATATCCCTCATCCCTCTGCCTCCCTCGTCTCTTCGCTCTGATCTTCTCTCCCCTTCACCCACACCACGCCCCGCCGCCTTGATGAGACGGTAGCAGCCAGCCCTATGCCCGTGCGAATAATGCGCTTTCGCCGTCTCGCCTGATTGATTGCTTGTCCAGGATCGCCCCGCGACGCTTTATTATCGATAGAGCGCGCTGCTGGAGCCGCTAGATATTTTGCCGACTCCTGTCTTCTCTCTCCCCAAAACAAACGCTGCTACTACTGCTGCTGCTGCCACCATGGCGGAACTGCAGCCTACTGTCGAGGACTGCTACTCGGATGACAGCGAAGGCGGCTCTATCCCCTTCCAGGGCCGCCGGTCGCCCAATGCCGCTAACGTCTCCACCAAGCGCTCGCACCCTTCCGACTTGGATAAACAAATGCCGCCCGCGCAGGAGAGGGCGCCGACCAACATCGACCTTCGCTCCGACTCAGGGTACAGCAGCTACACCACCGCCACCGTCAGCAGCACTAATTCCGCTCAAAGTGCTCCTCCCCAGCGCAGCCCCCCCCAGGTGCCTGCCGCCGCTGCCCCAGCGCCTCCCCAGCCTGAAGCTCCAAAGGCCCGACGACGCCCGACGGATACGACCGAGAAGACTTCCAAGTCCTCTTCGCGACCCAAGCCCTCTCGCACCGCTTCGTCTGCCTCCAAGCCTCCTGCTGTTGTCCAACATCAGCCACCGGAACGTAAACGCAGGCCGACCGTTACCCAGGAGTCCCGCCCGGAGCGCAGAGATCGTCGTGACAGCAGAGTTGAACCGGATGGTGCCGAGCCTAGACGCACCAAGTACGACCCCAACGCCCCTGCCTCAGCTGTCCGTCGTCGCCCTGACATACTGCCATCGCAATCCGCTCGCGACGTGCGTCCCATTCCACAAGACACACGCTCAATGCATTCTGATCCCGCTTCCTATCAGCAGGCTCCGCCCTCCCCTACGCACTATCGCCAGTCCTACCACGCAGGAGCCGCCGTCATCCAGCCAGCCACAACACGTCCTCGTCGCCCGTCGGCCGCTACTCGACCCATGAGCTACAGCGGTGAGCCTGGGGCACAGTACCACCACTGGGCCCATGGTGCGCCTGGATACCCCCCTCCACACCACGAGCATGGTCCGCCTCTTTCCCAATCTGCTCAATTCCGGCAACCTTACCCCCAGATGGCTCATCCATCCATGCCCTATGGGACGTCGTCTGGCTACCCCCCTCATTACTTGCAGCAGATGCCTCAATCCTACGACCCAATGCAGAGGCCGGGAATGGTGCCACGGCAGTCATTCAATACCGCGCGCACAGCACCTCAACCCGCTGTCATCCAAGCTCCCCGCGATCAGCAGCAATACTCGGCGAGGCGCAGCCAGCCTCAGGGTACATACCCTAATCAACTCCAGATCCAGGATGGAGCCTATACAAGCGATAGTGAATCCGAGACGGGATCGTCTGATGGAGAAGGAGACTATGAGCGGGAGCCTGAGATCGATCCCGAGGACCCACGTGTCCGCCGTGCGCTCATGCCCCCGCCCTCTTCGAAGCTTTCGCGGACCAAGTCCAAGTCAACGACTAAGCCCAAGACCAGGAAGGCGGAACGGCCTATCTTGTCTCATGCTCACACTACCACAACCGTAGAGCAAGTTCGCAGCCACCGCCATTCGCTGTCGACTCCTCCTGTTGGCGTCGACGACCGCTCCAGCCGTCATCGCCCTACCAAAAGCACTAACGAGGCGTCTCGCCGACAGTCCATCAGCCGACCTCCACCCCCACCGCGCGAAACACAAACCGAATACCCCGCACGACGTGGTTCGGTTTATGTGGGCGATAGCACCAAGGCTGAACGGCGTCGATCCGCTCACTACGGACACTCTGCCCAAGAAAAAGCATATGCGGAGTACGCTCTTGTGAGGCAGCAGGAGACGCGCCTCGCAGCCGAAGAGCAAGCCAGACAAGAAGAAAAAGCCGCCAGACGTCAAAGGAAAGCTGAAAAGCTTCTCGAGGATCGCTTCCAGGCTGAACAGGCTGCAAAGACCGAGCAAGAGCGCAAACGCGAGAAGCGCAACTCGAAGGTTTACTACCAGACTCCTGCAGCGTTGTTTGATGACAGCGAGGAGGAGTACCACTCCGATGAACCCGTCGCTCCCTTCGTTCCCGAAGCGCCAGCTCCTCCCCGCCGGCGCCGTCCTACTGATGCGGGCGGCCGCAAAGCCAAAGAAGTTCAGGCGATAGACTACATTAACAACCAACGTGGCACGGATGTTCCGTTGAACGATCACATCCATCGTGCTGCAAAGAGGGCTTCGAGGGTACCTTCAATGCCCTCTCATTCCGGCTCCTCTGGAAGCGATAGGCAAAGCCAGTCTAATCGCACCGCTCTTACGAGCAACGGCAATAATGAGATTCGCCTCCGAGTTGATGCGAACGCCCCACTCAGCCTGCAGTTCAACGGCGACATGGAGGGTCGCACTATGCAACTCATCCCGACCGAGGACGGCATGGCAGAACTTGTCATCAGTGGAAGTCGTGATAATGAGAGCAACTATCACAGCAGTGAAAGAGGCAGCAACGCAGGTGACGGACAGGCACTTGTAACGCGGAGCCAGCTAGAGGAGATGACCAAAGCAAGCATGCGCAGCGACCGTAGAAGGCGCGAAAGCCGAACAGTACGGGAGTCTTACGATGATCGAATTGTTGAGGTGCCACGACCTTTGCGTCGCCGCGCCAACACCGGTTCGCATTATTACAACTAAGGATCTCCGAACCTCAGACACTCGCGCGCGAAAGGAAGATGCGTAGCTCGACTTTGACTCTATTTCCTGCTGGCCACACGTAACTTCCCATCCTCTGCCCTGCGCGGCAGATCTCTTTGTATCTTCCTTTTTTCTTGGGTGGATGATTTCCATATCAAAAGCTTTCTACGAGCGCGGACATGCCTCTCTGGCAGACCTGCTCAACAAAAAAGTTCGGATCGGTTTATTCTTCGCAAGTTCGATTTTGGCACTATTGCCCACTCGCATTCCATGTTTGTATGCTTGCTGCGTTCCCTGCGACAGTGCAGGTCACATTGTTATGGTTTGCTAGACTGGGAACGCTCACGCACACCAACATCCAATGCGTAAGGGCGGCCACCGCCATTGAACTTCTTGTTTGGACCGATCAGATTGTACGGTTATCTTCTTCCTGCCTTTCGTCGCGCCCTTTTTTGAGCGTTCCCCACATTATTCCCCCCTTCTTCTTACTTCTTCTTTACCCTGCACTATACCTGCTCCTCGCGGAGGCTTTTCGGCACTTTTTTCTCGATTTTGGCGGATGTAATACCCTTATCTCCTTTTCTACTTGTTATGGCTGGATCATGTACGTGGCAGAAATGTTTGGTGGGGTTTCCTTTTTTTCGTTCCGCTATTTCGCAAAAAAAGTAAGCAAGAGGTCGATGTGTTGGCAACGGCTACGACGCTTATGATGATGGACGTATGGATCATGAACTACGCAGCGATGGATCTTTCTCTCTGTTTCCCTTATTTACATAGCTGAGCTGGGATGGATGGATGGCCTGATGGGATTTATTCAGATCGGATACTGCGGCTAGCCTGCTGGTATCGTGTAGGATATGATCACAATCACATCTCTTCTACCCTCCTCACCGTTACCCTGTACTGGTTCACCGCAAATGTGATGCAGGACGCCAGCACTGACCTGAGCTTGCGTGCATGCTTTTGTCTGACTGCATAGGGCGACATCCTAATTCGGGCTACAGCACTTAGTCGTTTCACCCCCACACTACAACTGCGGGCATGACGCTACCCACCATTCCTTTTTCCCACGATTCCAGACCGTGGCCTCGGTACGGTAACGAAAATGGAAAGTGCCGGTACTGTACGCGTTGGCGTGGGCCTGGCTGCCGATTGTTTCCGGTGTGGCTGGCCTGTTCGCCTCGCTTGCCTCACTTGTGCTGGGCGAGTGAATGCATGTATCGTAGATTGATGGACACGTGTCGGGGTAGGAAATGGGATACACGTAGACAGCACCGGAATAGTCATGGCCAGTTAGTCAAGAGTCAAGGGTCTCATTGCTCTATAGCCTCGATGCGTTGTTGGCAACATCGCTGGGTCCCAGCATTGGCTCTGTCTGTTGCTCCTGAACGAAATGCCGTAGGGAAGGTGACCATCGTTCACTTTCCAGAAGCGCACTGTTCGCATCGACTACTTCCCCGCACTGAATTGATGACTCCTCATCGTGTCCAGCCGAGGCAACCTTCTCTGGTCCATCAACCCATTCCACACCCTCTGCATCCACGAGTTCAACACCCCACCTAACATCTCCCCGCGCGTCTCTGAACCGACCCAGTTTAGTCAGTCTACCACTCTTAGCAAAGCCTTCGATACCCTGCTCTTCAATCAAACCGATCAGCCCCTCGCTTCCAGCAACCATAGCTAGTACGTCTGCCAAGCACTCGACGCGATGTTGCATGCATGAGCTCGGATACACAATCTGCAAGCTCACAATGAGAACGATGAGAATGACGGCAAGTAGAATGAGTATAGCAAGCGAGAGCCATGTGGCCGTCTCGTTCATAGCAAGAACCTCGACACGTTTCGTAAATGTCCCATTTACGCGGTCTGGGTATAAGACTTCCTCGTAGACTGCTTTTTGATCTCTACTACCCATACGGGTACCGCTGAGATGGTTTGTTCCGGTATTAACAAAATGTTTGAAGAAGGTTTGCAACGTCTTCTCTGAGTGTCGCAAAAGTGTCGTTGCATTGAGCAGGGACTCGGTATCTTTATTGGCAAGATGCCAGTTGGCGTACGACATGAAGTCGACGTTGAGGCCGCGATCGCGGTCGCGGATGTTGAAGCGTTCGATCGCTGTTTCTTCGATGCTGCGATTATATGATAGCCAGGAATGCGGCAGGTGTGGTGTGATGATGTGTGGGGCGGTTAGGAGCTGCGTCATGAATAAGTGGCCGTAACTAGTAGCGATGATGATTAGCACTAGAGGTTTGGAAAGGTCATAGGTGCAGTGGCTGCATAAATGAAGGGCTTACCTAACATTCCCCCATCCGTCGTAAAATGCTGGGTCAGGGTAAACGATGTCCCAGGCGTACTCCCATGCGTTGAGAGCAGGCTCCGGATCAGCCAATAGAGTATAGTTCAGAACATTGCCTGAACTCCTGGCTACGGTAACGCTGGCGGTAGTATTTTCAATAACCGTGATGCAGTCCATTATGGTCATCTTGGGTTCTTCCTTGAAGTAGAGAAGCTCTTCGTCTGCAGGGCCGTACGGATTGCTGACTTCTTGTACGTCGTCGATCGCGGCTGGATTAGCTGCAGAGATATTAGTTGTCACGCCTGGCCCCACGATCCACTTGATGGTAAAGTTGCGGTACCAAGCGCCATGAACTACAACATCCGCTGGATAATCTTCACCGATCGGGTCCGATGGTAAATTCTCAGTGGTGCAGTTGCCGGTCTCAAGTTGTTCTTCGGTGCATGTTAGTTTGTCCCAATTAGGGTCCATCCGCTCAAGCATGGAACTATTGGTGCTCCAATATGCGACGACAGCTTGCCCATCTGGATCGGTGCCGTTCGCACAACACGACAACCGTCTCGGAATGGAAAAGACGGACGTGTTATATGGCTCTCCATCAAAAAGTGTAGTCGGTAGTGCGAATCCTTCCAGCGTTTCATTTGTCCGATCAGGGAAGACGTCCGCGGCTTGTTCAAGCCAACCAGACTCTGGCACAGTGATCGGAGAGCACTGCAATCGACTTCGTATCGCGGAGGTAGTGAAAATCACCTTGGCAGGTGACTCTAGGTCATTTGAGCTTGACTGTCTTCCAGGATCAGAGCTTACTCCTGGAGATACTGTGACGTTTGGCAATCTTGCCATATCGAGTGAACCAAACGTCCATTCGTCCCTGGTCCACGCCAGTGGCGGCGCCTTCAAAACTATCTCGTCTAAGGCGTTATATAGCCACACTATCTCGGATGACTCCAACATATATTCGTCTAAGTCGAAATTGCGTGTACGTTCGGCTGAGTGGGTAAATTGTATAGGCTCCTCTCGAAGCTGAAAAGGTGCTGTCATGGGGAGGTGATGCTTATGCGATGGGTCCCAAGTGTCCCGAGTGATCGATGTGGCTTGTCTTTCGAAGACCGCGGCCATGGTAATGATGACTACATGATTAGCTACACAACGCAATCGTGCGAGAATGCTTACGGATTTGAGACAACGTGGTGCCAGTAGCTACCAGACATAGTACCCAATGTCTGCGCGACGCTGCTTTGGTAGCAGCCCATATCCAGTGTGAAGACTGGTATGTCAAAGAAGCTCCTCGTGTCGAGACTGCGGGCTTCCGCGACAAAGTCAAGAGTGGCTGCAGAATCCGCATAGGCTTATCAATACCATCCCAGCTCAATCCGATACAAACAGCGATTAGCGTAGCAATGACGGAGTGGGGAGAGAACGAAGTGTCGAACAAGCCTAAATTGACCTGGTAGGTAAATGCGGTCTGAGAAAGCTTATTCTCTCGTGCGTATTTGCGAAGAACTATCATGGTTACTGCGATGGCAATGACAGTAGCTAGTAATGTAAGAAGCCATCTCTTGTGGAGCATTGAAGGCCTCCAGTCATTCTGGTTTCCATCTTGGGATTTGGGAGAGCTCAATGGGATCTCGCTTATCTTGGCGGTTTCATGCGGGTTTCTACCTGCAACATGCTCAAGTGTCGGCGTTTTCTCCGAAAGAATACCGTCTTGCAGAAAATAAACTCGTGATCCGATGAATTCTTGCGTGCGTGATCTGTCATATCCGATCAATGTATTCAACGTGGTAGAACGCAGCGAAGAGATGTTGAAGAGGGATGCTGTTCCAGCGATGGTGGCAGGATCTGATCGAAGGTTGAGCGGCCGCCTCCTAATCGATGTATAGAATACAGCCGTTGAAAGATAGCATGCCAACAGCAAGAATAGCACAAACAATGTTATCGCCACCTCGGTGACGACCAGGATTCGTCTACTAACGCGCGTCACAGATCCATTTGTATCCTCCAGCTGTGGAACGTCGGTTTCAGTGATAGAGGATAGTAAGAGCTCCCTTGTGAAGCGTTTTCGCAGCTTGCTAGCTTCTTCCTTTAGGGTGACGTTCTCCAGCATTTCAGACAGGTTGTGGGCGAAAGTTGAAGCAAGAAGCAACGATATACCCTCGAAAGAACCATGGACAACAGGAGGTACGGCCATGTACTTGTTCCAACTGCCACTGCGAAAATTAAGGCCATCCAACAAGTCGAAATCGATGGCTTGTTTCGACACCGGCTGCCTGTGCCGCTCAAACTCTGATACATCAAAGGACATGGAAGCTTCTGCGCCGTCGATGGATGCAGAGACTGGTAGACTAGCTGTATGATATTCTGGACTGCATACGTGTGCCCGTATCGTGAGGTTGTCCCATGAGTCTTTTTCCCATACACCCACAGGTATATCGGCAGGTGACGGCCGGACTATCCATTGAGGTGATACAAGTAGCAGGTCGCGCCCCATGCATTGATCGGAGAAACTATAGATGAACGTGCGAGACCATTGCTCGAGGACCTTCTCTCCAGTGGAGCGGATTGCTGGAGGCTGACCGTAATCTCTAATAAGCGTCTCCCACGACACGTAATTAGAAGACATGTTCGTCCAGAGCAAGCCACCGTCTTTCGTAAAGGTATCGGTGATGAAGCCATCGGAGGAAAACTCGGCTCCATAATTATCCCACTGAGCGATTGGACCTTGGATTTGGACCTCACATCCGTCTTCTGATCGGATTTTGAACCCCTTTGAGTGGACAGCACACGTGTCGTTTGGACACGCAGTCTTCGCAATGTCTGTGTACTTGTAGGTAATCTTGGTTATATTCTTCTCCACCAGAACCATCGATGAGCAACTATAGTTCAGATGAAAAACCTCAGTATCTGCTTGCCATATGCCGTTCGGAAGCGTTGCACGGCTCTTGTCGCCACTTGACTTTCCAAAAGGTACAATGACATGCGAATCTGACGACCAGATAGATGTAGAGACGTTAAAGAGGTATCCGCTTATAGTCCGGAGGTATGTATCCCTGCGAGGTGCGAGCTGGATAGGCGACAACTCTCTGGCAATGGCCTGGCCAGCGGCATACCGTTGAAGCTGCACATTTTCCTGGATCAAGATATCCTTTGCGACGAATACGGAGGATGAAAAGGTCGAAATGCTCAGTATGCTGATACCAGCTACAAGCGAAGACAAGGCCAGATTCCATCTTCGGTGGCCACCGCTTCGTACTCGAGAAAAGCCAATAAAGACACTCTTCCACCATACCTTAGGCAGGTAGAATAGGGTAAACTTGGCTTCGATAGGGTTGGGGTCGGCCAGGCGTGCATATGCCTCTGTTCTCTTTACATCTTCCGCAACCTGGACGATGGCCTGCGTGAAGAAAATTGCGATGATAGTGGGCGTATATCTCCATCCAACGAGTAGTCCAGTAGATCCGTCATCATCTCCGAGTCCAGAATTCTCATAAGACTGCCAACTAAGCGTTGCTAAGACGACAGATAGTATAAGCGATGCTAGGCTAAGAGTAATCAAGTAGGGGCTTCGCAACGTGTGTGGCACCCAATCTGTAGATGTCCGCAGGCTTTGATTTCGCAACTTTGCTTTGAGCTCGTCAGAAGATGTCGGACATAGTAACTTGGGGTACTCGGTATTGCACTCACGCTCATGGGAATCATCCAAGTTCCTTATTTGCGGCTCCTCCAGCGAGTGGTCATCGATTGCTCCACTGAGTGCGGTAGATGCTCGGCTGGAGAGAAGCGTCTCGTTTTCCTGAGCAGCATGAGGAGACGAATCGGTGTGTTCGCGTTGCTCTTGAGCTCGGGATTCAGGCCTGCGAGTGCGGTCGACGCCGTTGCCCTGTTCGGCGTGTTCATGCTGCGTGATACCGCTTAAGGTATCGCTCTCAGAAAGCGATATCCATGAATAACGTTCGCGCGGTTCTGACGATGGACTAGTGTTTGAATGCGACATGCTGTTTGCGCATTAAACTCCGGATTGCGGCTCCCACGCAGGTCATTAGGCAGTCTGACTGGAATATGTAGATCGCGCAGAGTACCTAGGTATTTGGGGAAGACATATCTAGAGGCTGAGTGCATTCAGGCAACCATAGTAACCCCAGGAAGACTTGGCTCCATGTTACGCGCCGCAGATGCAGCGGTCACAATCAGCAGCATAGCCTCGTTACGCCCGGCGACCCACTCATGGCGGCCCAATCTCCGTTGGTTACCTGGCAGAGCCTCTTAGTCTTGGAAGCCGTTAAGACATATAAGATGCGGGCTGTGATTGCCCAGTAATAATGCGAGAGAGATCTGTTTGTATGCGACAAGACGGAAGTCGCGAAGTGCGGAGGAGATGCCAAGGTTCCACAGGGGGTCAGCGTCAGCGCTAGAGCCCAAAGGGGAAAGCGTCAGAGGGTGGAATTGTCGATCGACGATCTCGTGAGCCATGATACAACATACGACTTCGAAAGCTTCTACCGGCTATCTTCAATTATACAGGCGTCTTAGAGGGCTTGGGTAAGCTAAACACTATAACAAAAGTTGTCACATCGCCATCCAGACGCATGTTGCACATCTATATTGCGCTGATCTCATTGGCTTTAACGCGTTCCACCGCGACCAGATGCTAGACATCGTCACACCTAGTGTGCGAATGTAACCTACTACTACCCGCAATTCGGTTTTCCAGATTTGTCTCGCGAGATGGACGCTGAGTTTTTCCACTCGCATGAGTACGAATATGATGCTATCCCGATTGCAAGTCTGCGTCAGCCTGCGGCCAAGGATACTCGCCATCTTGAGTGAAACTCGTTCATCGCGCGAGATTGATGATAGCGTACATCTCGCTGGTGTAAGATAACAAACCGCGTGTTGTTTATATCGACAACCTTATTGTTGGTTGAACATCGAGCCGTCCCAACCATACGCGCGAGTCAGTCTTGCACCCAACGTCCGCATCATGGCAAGCGACATCTCGTTGCCCGGATGAGGCTCATGGAAACAGATGCCCCTGTCAAGACCTCTGTCCTGTCTGAGCTGCTCCGATGGAGTGAACTGCCACGCAGAACCTTGCATTTGTTCAGCGGAGAAGCCGAGATGGGTCATCGTCGTACGGAAAGCAGCCCACTTGGTCACTCCTGGTACTTTGTCTTCATCTGGAATGAAGAATAGCGTTTTGAGAACCTTATATGAATTGTCTCCGAGACGGGTCCACGGCCGAAGAGGATCGACAAACGTATCGGGAGCGGGCTCATCTTCAATGTCAGGATCGTCGGCGGGCACGGCGGCAGCTGTTCCACGGGTTTTGTCTTTTGCTTTCTTTGCTATGGCAAATTTATCCAGGTTTCCCGTAATTTCTTTCGATGGGTCGTGGAAGATCTGAGATACCGGCTGAGGTTCGAAAACATCTTCCGCAGAGAGGTGACCGGTCTCTTTCTCGGGACGATTGTTCACCCACGCTTTTGTTCGCCGCATAGCACCACGCTCTTCGAGAAGGCGGCGGAAAGTCTCCTGGTCCTCTCCTCCAGATCGGTTCCGAAAATCCGTATCAAAGCTTCTCCAGAACCTGTCTAAATTGGCCTCTGCTTTACGCAGCGCATCAATTGCCTTCTTCTTCCGTCTGCTTTCTTCGTAAGGGTACCTGAACTTTCCATCGGAAGGATCACCAAGTTCTGGGGAAGTGATAAACCCAGTATCCATGGCCGCTACGAGGACACGGTCCCACACCTGCAAGGGCTCAGCCACACGTGAGTTGACCCTGGCTTTGACGCTTTCGATCACTGCTAGCATCTTCTAGACTTTGAAGTTCCACGATTGGAGTTCAAGGAGATGTGAGCACTCCGTCAGAACCGAGAGCCGTGCAATGGCCTCTTTGATTGGCGTGCTAAGCAGGTCTCGTAATTTGGGCTTCTTTTGAAAGAAAGTCTCTAAAATATCAAGACGTACTCGGATTTCAAGGAAAGGCATGATATGCTCGCTCTTGTTATTGAGTTCACCACATAACTCCTGAAGAAGAAGAAGGCAAATCTCCTTCTTGTTCTGATCTTTCATGAAGTTCTTGTGTGCTGACAGGTGTGATCCGGTTGACAGCGGAAGCCTCACAAACTGCGATCGAAGTTCTCCGCTAGCCGAATATTGACTCATTTCTTCGAGAACGTCTCGCTTCATGAGCTCGAGTAGCACATGGAACGACTGGATAGCCTCCACGAGTTCTTCGGGTTCGAGTGACCAAGCGCGCACACCTTCCGGGTGGAGAGAGAAAAGTTCACCGATACGCCGAGCATAAGCGTCAAGTTGATCCCAACATACCAACCGTCGGTGATGACGAGCCACTAGAACGTTCAGGGTGCTAGCGATGAAGTCTTTGCTCTTGATATTAGAATGCGCTTTTCCGTAGCGATCGACCACCTGAGCAACGTCATGGTCGACAGCACTAATGTAGGCTTTTTCGAACTGCGATGGATCTTCGCGAAGTTGCCAGATCTCATCCTTGGCCGTGTTAGCTGCGTCCGACGTCCAGCGACGTAGTCTATGTAGATGAAGACCATGGCGACCACGGTAAGGTGTCATAGCGGTAGCCTCGGAGAAGCCAACGTCCTTATCTTCTTCATCAACGATGATCAGCGCGTCAGGCTCTGGGTCATCAATCTCAGTGTCGAGTAGTCTCAGATGATCCGACAAGATAATCTGAACGCACTGGAGCAGGAAAGTGTAGAGAGTCTGTTGAGCGCATAGAACTTGAAGAGCATTGCCAAGGCCTAAACCAAGTCCATCGTCTACAAAGTCTATAGCCTCAGTAACACTCTCAAACTCTTCTGATTCGCCGTATTCGTTACTATCAGAGAGACGGACCACATGTGAGGGCGCGCGATAATCGTCCGTAAAGCCCAAAGGCATGAATAAGCGCTGGGTTGTGGCAAAAGTATGAGGCGGCTGACGACTACGAGACTCGACTAGAGCTGAGAGTGTTGTCTTGTCGCCCAAGTCCTCAAGGTTGATGAACGGTAGAGTTCGTTCCAAAGAGGGTACGCCAGAAAAGGCCACCAGGGAGTGGTAGCCGTCCTCGCCGAAGCACTCGGGACGATGACATCTGGGAATATCAGGGTATACTCGCTGGAGTATTTCAACTCGTTGGTGCGCTCTTTTCGCAGCCCAGCGTGTTGCGAAAACCCCAGACTGTGGCGACAGGATGTTGCGTAGCTGGATCTGTTTGTGAACGATTTCGGCTCCAAGGTTCTTAGCGTAGTACGTGATATCGCCGATGGGTTAGCCAGTTGTCAAGTTGGGGTTGTGAATGATAGCGAGGATCTCGTTCAGGCTCCTGGTTGGGGCGGAAGTGGGCATGTTGAGAGTGACTATTTGCCCTTCGTGAAGGCCACTGGCAGTGGGAGATATCTTCTGTCAATGACCGGGTAGATATTTTGATGATCGTTATGTATATAATACCAAGACTCTTAAAGCGAGTAGATATACACATTGTGGGTGATAGTGAATTCGACAGGCACCAAAGAGGTGGCGGCCTTGCATTACGACAACAGCGCCGTCTACCCCTCCTGAGGGCGACCCGCTGCTCGGAGGGGGTGGATAATTTAACTGATCTTGCACTAGTTCTATAGTTATTGGCGCTTGTGTATAATCGAGAAGAACACGCCAAAGAGAAGTGTTCAGTCATTCTTACAGAGGTGGCAAACAAGGACGAAGGCAGATACCCTGGCAACAGCAATCGCAGTGCAAGCGCTGCTAGGCATGACTTGAACAGGGGAATTGTCTCTCTTAGAATGAAAGCAATCGCCCCAGATACCCCAGATAATGACCGAAGAAAATACCGATCAAAGCAAGACAGAAAGAAAAGGGCTTGCCAACTTTCCAAAACGGAGCAGCTGGGTCGAGCAATCGTATGCTCAAGCAGCAGCACACACCACGTTGACTCCATGACCTGCAACAGCATCGATGACACCCTCAGCATCCAAAGCTTCAAACAAGCCGACGAATGTAGCCGTCCACTCACGTCCTCCATCTCCGGCACCTCGATTGAAGACGAAGTCTTGGACTCCGCCGCCAGCACCACCAAGGTCTTGCTTTAGTCTCGCGCCATCGTCGTCTGCCCACCCTGCCCCCCATACAGTATACTCCCCACCACCGAACGACGGTTTGACGCTGCAGCCAGCCGATACGGACTCTGGCTCGGGAGCCGGAACAACTAGCGGGGTTGCAGGTATGTATTCAAGACAGTCACTGGATCCGGTACCGTCATCCTCGCTACTGACCTCCGGGTAACAATCGAATCTGACGCGATGTGCGTCTTCGTCTGCTCCGTTCCAGATCATGCGAACCTCGGTCCCTGGTTTATGCACCCAGCTTGACTTGTCTAACTTGAGGTATTCACGAATCGCTTGGACTCGCTCAATTCCGGTTGAGTCACGGAACTCGGAAGGGATATCCTCCATCCCTAAGTATGTCGCAATGAGTCCACCAACAGCAGGAGCAGCTATATGTATAGTTAGCGATCCTATCATGGGTACGGGCAAAGTAGCTCACCGACGGAGGTGCCCTGGAAGGTTTCACTTCTGCTGTCCCTCGTAAGAGAAATAACCCGGTTGCCAGGCGCATACACAGATAGCTGAGGTCCACCCTGCGAGTCTTTGACTCGATCTCCCGAGATTGTCGCGGCACCGACATTGATGATGGGCGTCATATCCGGATGTTCCAAAACCTGCGGCAGCAAATCGATGTCCTCGCGCGTGCCCTCCTCTGCATCACGCTCATTACCCGCTGCAAGGACGACTGGTGTGCCAAGTGCAATAATATCGTTGATTGCGTTCAAAAAATCTTTTCCTTGCTTAGTTTGCAAAGCTTGTTCGCGTGTAGTTGACCCGGTAATGGCTTGGGAAACCACGACAACGCTGCTGAGAGCTCGATCCTTGTCGCGTATGTCGGCGAAAGCCAGCTTCAGACCTTCGAGGAGATCGTTGGTGGTATGAAGTATCTTGACAGGAACGATTTTAGCTTGCTTAGCTATGCCATATCGTTGTCCTGCAGCTTTACAAGCCATCATTGCACCGTGTGAGCCTTCTCCAGGCTGACCGTCAGGCGGTGCATCGTCGTCCGTTTCTTTTGACTGCCCATTCGCTTTTGACGTTTCGGTCTGTAGAATGTCCTCTACATCGACGATGAGTTCGTGTTTATCTTTGAGGTTGCCCTGGCGCGTCTAAGTCAGCGTAATCGAGAGGCAGACAGTAGAGTTACTGACATTAGTTACGCCAATTGCCACGCCCTGGTCAATGATGTATATCCAAGTGCCCTTTCCCGCGTTGGCATCGTAGATGAAGCTTTTCAGATTACCACCCAAGCCACTAGGAAGCTTCGTCAGCTGTCGCAGTGATCTCAAAGTTTTACAACACTTACTCGTACCTGCTGTCCTCCATCAAATCCTTCGTGGCTCTTTGTTGTCTCTTCCAAGTGATTGATCTTTTCGATCATCTTTGTTGTGTCGTACAATGGTGATGATACCTCGTCGTTCTCAGTGAGATTGAAACCGTGCGAAATGTCTTTAGTAACAGCTCGGCATTTGATGAGCGGCTGTGATATATCCAATTCCGGGAGGATGCTGGGATACTGTGCCACTTCCAGAATGCCCTCTGGACTCAAATGCAACGGGCCCCATCTTAGCCTTCCAAAAGACTTGATCTCATAGACATCCTCTACAGGCTTGGTCTTGGTTTTGAGATACGCGAAGATCTTTGCATTCGCCTCGGTGTCCTCTGGATCCTTGGCCACAGCCCACCACGTTGTCGGTTTTGGAGGTACCTTCCTCTTCGTGAATCTCAGTTTCCGCTCCTCGTAGCCCACACCGGGAATATCGAGGTCGCTCCAACCCCGGAGATCATCAACCGTCTCGCCTTCGATCAGGGACAACTTCCAACACGGCTTTCCATTGGAATCTTGGGTTTTTACGACACGATCTCCGTAGAAAGCCTCTAAGTTGCACTCAGTCTCTTCATCCTGGCGATGACGACTGAATTCATCGGTGGATGGGTATACGAAGACAGTGGCTGTAATTGGTTCCACGTTCGAAGAGATGTCGACCTCCCTGTTGTTCCCGTCAGGAGACGGACTTGCAATGACCGCTGGTATCAACGCAAGGAACAAGAAGCGAAAGCGCATGATGTGAAATTGATGGAACAAAGTTCTTGGGACAAAATGTATGGAGGAGTTTGGTAGTAAAAAGATCGTGGGATCTTTGAGATGTGAGATGGCTCAATGGAAGATAGCAACAGTTCAATGTGTGCCCGCTCTTATGAACATATTGCGACGCTCGAGATTGCGATTCTGCTATACTTGGAGTTTTACTTCGCCGTCTTTATGTCCAAAGAAAGACCATGTTCAAACGTAGAAGTCTGCGCCTAGGAGCTATGACAGCATACCTGTCTTGAGCACTATCCATGATGAGGTCGCTTTGGACCTGATTTGAATGAAGCACAATGAATCTGCGACCGGTATCGATGACAACCGATGCACACTTGTGGCGGCGACACCTACTGTCAGTGATGAAGTGGGGGGAAAGTGATGAGGTTCCGTGCCGTAATGTGAGGTGGTGAGCTAATTTTACCCGTGAACGCTAGGCGATTATGGCAGACAGCAAGACCGACGTGATTGGCCCACTGTGGCCCCACTCTGACACGCCCCAAAATAGAGTAGGCTCACTCATTTGCACTTGCATCTGAATCCTTCTCTCCGCCTTGCGTAGAGATAATTCAGGTGCATGGCACAGCAGCTTCGCGTGCGTTGAACTCGATGGCAATGTCAATTTGTAACGGACTACTGCCGTCAACAATGTGCCGCTGGCGCTGGCACTCATCAAGGTAGTACGAAGTCAGTCCGATGGCAGTCACCATGAATGGTACTTCAGGTAAATCGAGATCACTTTTCCGGGGCGTTTAGGGTCATCGCAATGCAGATAGTCACCGAGAACTGGCCAAATAATGGAAAGGATAACATTGAGCTACTGACGTCCGATATCTCCACAGATGATTACATGCCTACGTAATTTCTTCTAGCATAATGTTTGACCTTACACCCATCCAGCGCCGACCCATCGACCCATCGACCCGTCTACCATCTGTCTAGATCTTGAGTAAGATTCTTAGACCCAGAGTCTATGAACGCCGTAACCGTGAATGACGCCCCAACACAAGTGCGACGAATAGGGTTTCCTCTACATCATCCTTCAGGAAGAGATATTCAAGCGAGCTGAAACATATCACCTCTCCAGCCGTACGTCCTCGCAAGACGCCGACCGAAGCGTCGAGCCCATGTGAAAGGCAGCTTGTGTGTCGGGTGAGGCTCATGGAACTGGATGGGCTGCTCTACATCTAGGTTTCGCGGGGTGAACTGCCAGGCGGAGCCTTGCAGCTTCTGCGCGGCGAATCCAGTAGCTACCATGGCGTATAGGAAGTCGTGCCAGGGAATATCACCAGGATGGTCGCGCGAAAGTGGTGAATGGAACAGGACTCTGAAGACTTTGTGTGCGCGCTTATCGAGATGGAAGGTCGGTTGTTCGTCGATGATGGCGGGAGTAGCTGGCATGTCAAGGTTGTTCTCGTGACCATGTTCGGTGTTGAGGGCTGCCAGACCGTGTGATTTTGCTTTCTTGGTATTGCTCAGGTTGATCTTGTCAAATGCGCCGGTAACCTGCCTTGTAGGGTCGTGGAGGTCGTTGGATATTGGAATGTATACGTATTCGACGGGTGTAGATGGCTCCGAAGTATCGTCGGGCTCGACCCAGAGCGGTGTGCGCTGTAGTTCACGCTCCTTAATCAAACTGGAGACTATTTCGTGAGGCGTAGTACCGGTACATTCCCTGAAGCGAACGTCTGCGGCATGCCAGAACGCATCCAAGGCCGCCTCCGCACTCCTGAGGTTTTCGACGTTCATCCTGCTTCGGCGCTTGTTGATCGGATAGCGGAATTTTGCGCCTGGCTTTCCGAGATCAGCGAGGTTGGTTCCCTCGAAGGTTGTGTTCAACGTTGATTGCCACCTAGAGAGGTTGATAGCATAGGCTGTTATGAGCTCCGTCTGTCGCTGTTTGGCTAAGTACTGAACTCGCTTTGCCCATGGTAGGAAGAAGCTGAGTTGACGAAGACATTCCGAGACTATGGACAGCTTGGAAAGGAGTGAGGCTGCGAACGGGGAGGTCAAGTTTCTCGCTCGCTCATTGTTTTGCAATAGATTGTCCAGTGTTTCCACCAGAGTGTGCACCTTTAACGACTGTCGGACAGGCGGCTCCCAAAGATACTTGAAAAGAGTGAAAACACGCTCCAGTTCTTTGTCTCGTTTGCAACTACCTTTGCCGGTGAATTTGATGCCCACCACCATATCTTCAACACTGTGATCGCATTCTTGAGAGAAATAAGCGCGAATTTCCAAAGAGGATGACCAGGCTACCCTCAGCTCTTGTATGATTTCCAATTGGAAGAATTCCAGAAAAGACCAAGCTTCAACAAGTGACTCTGAGAAGTCTTCTGGGAGCTCTTCATTGCTACCAAAATTCTCAAATCCAAGCTCGTTTTTGTATAGCAACCTGAAGCGGTTGAGCTCGGACATATGTTGTCGCAGTTCGTTCCACATGAACAGGTCAATGTAGCAGTCGGTGGCCACACCATGTAACACACGAGGCCAAAGAACTTCGTCGCGCGCACTCTTATGTGTTTGCTTGCAACGAATACCTGGCAGTAGCTCCGGCCGATGTTCTTTGTATTCAAGTGTAAACTCTCGAAAGTATCCCGGATCCTCTCGGAGCAGCCAAATGTGATCTTCAGCCGCGTTTTGGCATGCAGATACTAGTGCTTCAAGTCGGCCGAGATCCGCTAATGTAGGCACCCGATAACATGCTTCTCGTACGATGGCGTTGAGCGAGGTGAAATCCTGATCGCTGCAAGTCAAAGCTGGAGGCTCGGACGGATTTGCAGCATCTTTGTACAGCCCATATAACTCTTCGCACGATCGCTTGATGATAGCTGATTGTACCATAGTGTTATCCGCCAAGATTTCGCCAACACAGCAGAAGGAACTCAAGTATGGCCGTCTGCATCCACACAATGTGTGAGCCAGGTAGAGGATGTATGGTATCTCCTCTACCCATCGATTCAGCGGCCTCTGCTTCCGTATCCCACTCGTAGACCTGGCCGTATCCGAGGTTGTTGAGCCCCATAGTAAACTTTGTCTTCTCCAGAAGCGCTGGCCGTAGGTGTATCAGAGGGGCCAACTCGTAATCTAGAAAGGCAAATTTCCACATTGCATGTCGGCCACGTGCGTTGAGAAGGATGAGCAGTGGGTTCGGCTTGGTGAGGTCCTCGAGGTTGAGATAGGGGAAGGCGTACTGCGCCAGCCCATGCGAATGCCTCTGGTGCGGGCACGCATTGAGAACGGACCTGTCGATATCGGGGCGATGATTCTTTGGTAGCTGTGTTGGCCAAGCCTTCTCGAGGATCGCTTTCCGCTGCGCCTTAGACTTCTTGAGCCAACGCGCACGAATCTCACCTTCGAACTTGATGATGATGAAACACAGAGTTGTCCAAATGATAAGGTTAACCACCACAGCATCGCACTCTGCATTGACGATGTGCTCCACTGGGGCCATAATAGCTTTCTCCCAGCATAACGGTTCCTTCTGTCTGTCGTTGTCGCATGGATCGTCTTCTGGGCAGCCGAAGAAATGGTGTACGTGGTCGAAGTAGTGGAAGATACCTGCTCTTGTGAATGTAAGACCGCCAGATCTTGTACCCTTGAGTAGCGCCTGGCGCAGTGTCTCCGAGGCTTCGGGTTCGGGCAAAGATTTGAGAGATTGCAGCCACTGCCGGTACTGATCGGCCGACTCCATGCTCGATGTGCGATGGTGCTGCAAGATTTAGAGCTTCCAAAAGAGAGGCGAGAAGATTAAGAGAGATTGCATCGTTGTGCGCAGACATAGAAGAGAACGACTCTAGGCTGCAGCACCGCTTCTCACGGAAAGGCGCAAGTGAGAGGGGGGTTTTTTTCCAACTCGCGACAGCAAACGGGCGCCAGGCGGGCGCTCTCATACCGCTACATCACTGCGCTCACCAACGCGACGACATGGTCTTGCATCAATGGCGAAGACCATGCTGCTGAGCTAACTGCGCAAAGCTACATGTCTCTACCTGCTATCGTCTACCAGAGCAAACATATCAGAATCGATCACTATTGACGTTTGGTGGTTGAAGTGAGTCCAGCGGGTAGGGTCGGTTGTGGTCCCTGTAGGTGTCGCTTCCCTCGACTACCAGAACCCACCCAAGGAAGGTGTGCCTGTTGACGCGAAGCCTCATTCCCCTCTCTTTACACCCCGACTACGATCTATCCCACTTTCTCTCACTTTCTTTCGTCGCGTCGTCGATCAAGTTGCGGTGAAAGCCCTTCAACAGTCGGTCAGATAACGCGCGGAATATCGTCGGGACGCTGCAGACGATCGGGAAACCACAGCGACATTTCCAAACCACCATCTCGCTAATGGCACAACCCGCTTTCGGATGCGACACGAATTTACGTATGCGCGACGCGGCGCGGCATCGTACGACTTGCCCTCCGTGGTCCGGGTGAGCAACGTTGCGCAGTATAGCGGGGGGAAGTTTGTTCCACCAAGGGCTAAGGCAAGGACGAGGATCAATTTCCCCAGATCAGGCTATAGGCCAGTCCGGGGAAAGCGGGCGGCGAGGATAAGGCTTGGACGAAACATGTCGGATGTTGCCAAAGAGCAATGGCTACGTCGTATTACCAACGATGAAACGACGTTGAGGTCGCGTTAGCTCGCGTCTAACCCGCGGCTTCCATGGCTTCCTATTCGGCGTCTCGACAATATGATGCCATGACAGGCGAGCTTGGCTCAGGCTATTGCTAGACACGAAGAAGCAAAGAAAGTTCGCGCCAGGAATAGTCGCCCGGTAATAATGTCGATATATATTCAACCACAACATGGACTCATGGTTCGGATGATGCGGAGAGAAAACTGTTTGCAGAGGACGCGTCGCGCATCGAGATCGCAACGCGACTGGCGCTGACACGAGTTTATGCGGCGCCAAACCTGTTCGATCAGTCTTCGATCAGCGATTCCTTGGACCTTTGGCGAGAACAACTTGGATTAGCCTTGCGCAGGGCGGCCAACGCAGGACGGAGAGAGGTCTGAGATCTGAGATGTCACTCTTCTGCCGCAATTTCGACCGGTAGAAAAGGGGCGGCACGATGGCACAAACGTCAGTGACGCCTTGGTCGTGACACCTGTCGGCTCGAGCGTCCTTCCAACAGCGTTCTCGAAGCCTCATTCCAGCCGGGCAACCGTTGCATTGCAGAGATTATTTTCCGCGTCGCAACCCAAAACGGCTTGCCTATCTGGGTGTGTCCGACTCACAGGGAGCATGAGTCGATGATAAGCGGTAGAAAAAGCCGTTGCGAATGCCAAAGGCTATGCCTGGATGGGCATCAAGAAATCAAGCAGTAATGCGCATCCCGCTGATCAAAGGTGGAGAGACAAAGTTCCAGACGCCTCGTCTTCCTTTTCGAGTGGGCGAATCCCAGCCTGCTGGTATCCGGGGAATGCAGCCCGGAAGCTCCACTTACCCCATCTTGCTCTGCCGCAAGCCCTCGCGTGGGATGTGCATACACTTGCATATCGGACAAGCGGTCAGAGAATTGACTTGTTCGGTCCGGCTTTGATGATGCCTTGCTTGCGACAGCCGCCCAAAGGACACTGTGGTGTCTTGCTGGCCCACGTCATACGCTTGTCGGCTCCTACCCGCGGACCGCCGCCGTGTATCGCAAGGTATTGGTTTGCTGGTTCGGGCCGTCTACGATACAGCGATAGGCATCCTTTCTTTACCCAGCAAGCTCCTGATGCCGTCGAGGAATGCGTAGGAGGCTGCAGAAGGCCTGAGGGTTTGTGCGCCTTGTTTGTCGCATCCTCGCTTCGAGAACATCGTCTCAGACACGTCGATGATGACAGGACGCCTCAGAACAGCCTTGATTCTGCGACCCTGGAACAGGATCAGGGCGTGGGGTGGACTCTGCGCGCCAGGTGCAACGATGGTTGCGAAGCAAGGAGTTGCAACCGTCCGCTTCCCCGTGTTGCCGCCGCATTTGATTGCTGATTATACTTTTGCTTTTAGCTCAAAACGTATGGCCCTTCCGACATTCCGTTACTACCCTGGCTAATGATGCGAGTCAGGGTTTGTCTTTTCGGCGGTGAATAGCGATCGTATCAGTACTTTGGTCTTGTACTCCGTCTTGTATAAGAGAGCTACCCCCTTCGGCGCGGTATCGCCCTCTCCAACACATCGCAAAGTACAACTCAGCCCAAAGCCCAATACTACTTGACACTCAAAAACCACATCTACGTCAAACCTCTTTGCCTTTTTCAAACACACCACCAAAGCATTCCTCACACACGAGCCTTCTACAACACCGAACTTGTGTAACACGCCTCGCCCAGTGACACGCACCTACCAAAAAGTAAGCCCAGCCCCCCACGCAACACTCTTCCCCATACCCGAGCACCTCAAGTCCGGGGCTCCGCCAAATCTGGCGGCCCTGCATGGCCAACGCACAAACCACACATCAGCCCTGTCGCAAACAGCCCCTCGCCCTCAGCGCATTCTACCCTGATATATTAAATCTGACTCACCCTTCCTTAGGCTCACACCCCCGTCTTCGTAACCGAGTCAGCCCCCCGAAGTTTTAGTTGTTGTCACAGCCCGAGACAGCACATCACATATCTTTTGCGCCTTCCCCCGAGCGAAACTTGCACTTCCTACCCTGCATTGCACCAGCGCATCAATACTTCCGGCCCGTACCAGCTTTTCGGCTTCCGTTGCGAACTATTTAATCGATTGTTCCGGACACCCTCCATTTTACCCGCCAGTCTTCCTTGCTACTCCCTGCAAGACTCCTCGTCGTCTACGTACCGAGTACATCGATCTTCACACACGAACCATCCTTCAACTTCATATAATCACACGAACAACCACCAAAATGCCCGCTTCAGCAGCCTCCGCATTCAACCCCCGCCAACGCCTCTCCATCTTCACAAACTCGACTCTCGGTCACGATGTCAGCGCAGCTTTCAAGGCATCATCAAGCCTGAGCTCGCGCTCCATGGAGGTCAACGAGACCCCCGCGCCACCGCCATCGCCCGTCGACTTCAGCTTCCCCAGCACACCAGCCGACAGCCGGAGGGGTAGCTCAGGCTCGAACTAGAGCGCCTCGCTCTTCTCTCTCATCTTCTTACTTCTTTGCACTTAGCGGGCTTGGTTTGGGTACTTGATGTGGCGTTGGATGCTTCGGGTTGTACATCGGCATGGCTATTTTGCGCGTTGACCGCCGCGTGTCTTGATTCTTGGTTTCACAGTATTCTTCACCACTCTTTGTTTTGCTTCTTATTCCCCTTTGACTTTGGCAACTTGCAATACTATACTATATTTTGGCACATTTTTCTTGGAGGAGGAGTTAGATGTGGGTTCCTGGGCAGACTGCTACATGGCCGCGAGGCTGGATGGCTTTTACTATTCGGTAACGAGATATGCATCAATCAACTATATACCCAACTTCACACTCATTTTCTACGCGTTCTCATCCCTCGAATGACATTATTGAACACTTTTCATTTCACGTAAAACGCAACGTGTCCTTCGAACACCGTCATCAGAAACTACTCGGTAAACACGCAAAACAACACATCCATCAAACGACGTCACGACAGACTATGAAGCTCACTCATAACACAAAGTGTCCCCCAGACAACGTCATAAACCCCTTCCCACTCCCATACCACGACCCCCCAGTCTCTCCAACAAACTTCACTAGTCCACACTCCCGAAACAGACGGACAGGTCTCTTCAGAACAAGCAATCAACCCTGAACTTCATACCCAAACCCAGCTTGTATCCGCCCATGCTACGCTACGACATCATACTGGTCATAGTAGCCTACAGTCAACATCATAATACCCTACTACCCCACATCATAACCTCACACTACCCCCACACTACACGGACTACCTCCACACTATGTGAACCAACTACCCCAACTACCGCCACACCATCTTCCCTGAATAATATACTAGATATAACCCTAATTCCATTTCTAAATCCTCCATCCACTCCAACGTCATCACCCATCCAACACCGTCTCGTCAGCACCCGTGACTCACAAGGTAGAGCCCAGTCAGCCGTAGCGGTACTTGTACTTGACGGAAACTGTTTACTACCCATCGCACGGTCAGTTGGTGTTTTGCTCGGGCCATATCCCGTGCCTGACCCGAGGCGAACGTTTTTCGGGAAACGTGAGTGAGGTGAGATTGGGATGGGCTTACCTGAGATTCTGGGCGTGGGCGTTGGGTGTTGGATGAAGGATGTAGGAGAGGTAAGATGACAGGGTTTTGTGAGCGTTGGTGGAAGTGAGTGTGCCTAAATACCTGTAAGCGGCTGAATCATTCGTGGGATGAGAGATGGATGGCATGGTGAAACGAAGGTTAGTGTGGACGTGAAATCATTCGGCGCTTTACTCGGCGTGTTGGAATGCTATATCGTGGATTGGTGTAAGAGCGAAGGGACTAATCCTCTTGTCTTAGAAACTTCAAAGGCTGCAGCAGTCTTGCTCGGTATCTGTACATCGTATTTTATACATAGATGAACGCGAAGTCCATGTTCGGAGCTCCAGGTAACTACTCGCCTTCCATAGTCCGACCTCAATTGTCTCGCGGCGAAGCCTGTGCCATCTCAGCCGTAAGTGCATCCTCTACTGCCTCGATACTATTGTCGTCCTTGCGTTTCGCCCTCCGTAGGAAGTTGGAAGGAGCATCGTGATTCGACTGAAGCC